TAACTTCGGGAAGATAAAGTTTATATATTTTTGTAATTTGCAATTACAAGTAAATTTAAAATATTAAATATTTTATCAAGATTTCTATATATGACAAATTTATCGGCAAGTCAAATGTTAAAAAACTCATAACTGAAACAAAAATGCTTTGCATTCAATTCGGAAAGCTTTCCTATGTTAGTTTTAATGAGGTTATCAATTCTCTATACTCAACTTAAAAAAAAAGAACGATGTAACCTCTTTTCTTTTTCATTATATATATAATTTATTTAATTTTTTGACCACATTTGTCTAGAGCCACTCTTCTGATCAAGAATATATATACTTTATAGGGTCGGAAAAGACTCCTTCACAAGCTTCTGACTTAAATTAATATTACTCTGCAAGGGTATAATGACAATTGTGTGTATACGTAATATTTTGGGACTCTGCTATAAATTCAAGAAAATGGCCTTCAAATCCATCTTGCGGAAAAAAGGCGAAAAATGGCATTAATAACTTAGTTTCCGGTCGAGTACAGCGCAAAAGAATGCTATGTATTGGCACTTCCGCCTGTTGCTTTTTAGTTCAGCGTAAAAGATGCACCAATTCGGCCACACTTGCGATGTTTTCTTTATTGCATACTTTCGCGGTGCACCAAATATTCGAAGCGTATTAAATTGTAGCCTGTTGCTATTTAATTGAGCCTAAGAGATGCACCAATTCGGCCACTATATCGTCTTGTTGTTTATTGCATACTTTCGCGGTGGACCAAATATTTTAAGCGTATTAAATTGTAGCATACTGTTTTGGGCCTTGTCGATCTTCGTCGCTTTCTGCTGCATTCTGTTCACCTGTTACGGAAAATCGGGAAACGGACAATTTGCTCACAGATTGTTGGGAAATGGACTCGATGGGAGGATGGCTTCTTTTAATTATTTGTAGTATATTCCAGTACGATTGTATATGTTTATATAGCTGCCATAGGTTCTGAAAAAGTAGTTCCCATTAAGAAAAATAGCAAACTCCTTTGTTCACATTTAAAAAATTTATTGTTTTGTTTTATTTATTTTTTTTATTTATTTTGTATTTTTTTAATCAACTTTTACACAGAGAAAAAATTAAATTGCAATTTTTGCATTTTTGTTGGTTTAATTTGATTAATTAAAATTTGTTAAATTGCTAGAATTTGTTAAGCGCTACTAAAATTTAAATTTGTTGTTTTGTTTTCCATTTGTTTCATTACATACATACACTCATAATCATATAGGTAGCATATGGTATACTTATATAATATATATATTATATGTATTAATTTTGCCCACACATTCTGTAGCTTCGGCCAAGGACCTATCTCGCCACGTACATATACAATATATATATATTTTAATATTTATATATTGGAATCGTTAAACCTTACTTTGTCACATAACTACATACATATATATGGTTGGTGTCCAACATATAGATTTCATCAACGGCCGTGTAACTACGATTTTATTTGAATTACTTTTGTTAATTAATTAGTCGCTGCTACATTACGAAAAGAAGCGCTAATTTGGACTCAAAACATCAGGTTTGTGGGGTTGAGTGGGGGTGAGTGTGTGTCTGAGAGGGGTTTGAGTTTTCCCCAGTTTGATTGATAATTGCCGTCAATGAAAGCGGATCCTGCTGAACTAAAACTTGAAATTAAAATCCGGCTCAGATCGCATGTGGTGGGATAATCGTTTGAATTGATAATCGATAATCGAAGATGCCGTTTACTGGAATGCAGTTCTAATTCGTAAAAATTTGTTAAGATGGTGAGATGTGGTGTCTACTAGAGATAGAGAGTTATTTGCTTTCGATTTCACTTGAGGCGTTCGTTTAATTGATTTGTAATTTGATTCTTGAATGCATTTAATTGGTTCCCTTAAACAACACACACACATTTATATATATATATCGAGAATATACATTAGTACTGCCATTAGTAATCGTTAGTAATCGTAATATTTTTGCCTTAGTCGGTAACTCTGTAGTCTGTAATAGAATGTGTAAAAATCCTACAATATATATATATATATAGCCATATATCTATTTACATTCATATATAGACCTCTTTTACATATATATTCTTGATACTTGTCGCGATCATTTATCATTTTCATTTATCATTATTGTTTACAAAATACTTTGAGGAGCACTGGACAATGGACTAAGATTCATTTCTTTCCTTGCATCTTGTTTTGTACAGTTCGCATTTATCCATGAAAACGAAACGAAAGATACTCCTGGAAATTGGAGGAGATATACACTACTTTGAAATACAATATATCCGATATATGAGAGAAGCTCAAAGGAAAAAGCATTAAAAACATCAAAAGCGTTTCATAAAATATGTAAACTGGAAAAGTGAATTACAACTGATCGCAGAAATATCGGCAATTAATACTTAAAAATTCTACAAATTAAAACATTCTACAGCTACTTGATAATAACATCTCTTTTTCTTTTTTGTGTGAACATATTTAAAATCATTGCAAAATGTACTGTTATTTGTGGTTTAATTAAATTTAAGATTACTTTGCTTTTTTATTTTAATATTAAATAGATCACATTCATGGTTCTATTTCTTCACTTGCTTTATTTATGTTCACATTTAATTCGTTAATACAGTATATATAGTTTTCTCATTTCTCAATTATTGCTGCTATTTACATATACATAGCTTTGTTTTTTGTAATTTATGCATATGCCGTATGTGTGTGTGTGTGTGTATATATTTTTGTTTAATGAATGAAGTCGAAAAGTTGATTACTTGAGTTTTGGGATGGCTAAAAACATTTATTATGCATTAGAGGGCCTAAACAAGTATAAAGCAAGTTATAGATTCCTAAATTGTATTATAATATTTTGTATTTTTGTTTTATGATTTTCCTTCTGCTTCTTTCGTTTATTATATAATGAGTTCTTTTATTTTTGTATATTCTTTTGCATAAATCGAGATCTTTTGTGGGATTGATTATTGATGGAAAAAAGTGTGTGTTTAGATAGTTAAATAATATTATTGTAAATGTTTTTTTGTATTTCTTGGTTTTATAAATAAATTCTTGTTTGCCATTGCATGTGTGTGTGTGTTATAAACTACAATTAACCTGTCAAAATACTTGGGATTTGTTTGTTGTTCTCAATTTTTCATTTTTTGTTTGTGGCGTGTGTGAGAATTTTTAATGATGAATTTCGTCGTTTTGCTTTTATGATTTCACTTCTTGGTTTTGTTATTCTACGCTAAAAATTATTTTAAAATTTATTAACACAGATGACTTTATATTTTCCGAAAGTTTTAGCTTCTGCTTCTCATCTTCACAATAGTTACCCATTTTTTTGTCATACATTTTTTCGCTTGCTTTGTTTTTTTATAAATAATTTCACTGCTCAGATCGAAACAAATTTTCGCCAACTAACTAGCCAAAATGTATCCATATCCATGTATATAATATCTTAACTTTTTACTCTGCCGATTCTAATCGCCTTTTGTTTTTATCCTTCTCTTTGTTTAATATTGTTATTTGCTCTTGTTTATTAACTAAACTACAGATAAACACACAGCTACACACATTGAATGAAATTTTCTGCTGGAGTTAAGTTAAGTTTCGTTTGTATGTGGTTGGGTTTTGTTTTAATATTAAAATCTTACATTAGAAACACATCAAATATTAGAAATATTTTCATATATATATCTATAATATATATGTATATTGTATATTCCCAGCCACTTGGCCTTTCCATCTTAGTTTCCTTTTTGTTGTTTGTTTCGCAAAGTTTAAAACTCTGCACAAAAGACGACAAATTAAGAATAATAATTAATTAAAATAATAATACAGAGCCTTAATCATAAATTGGTGGAAATATTTTGAGAAATTTGTTGTTTGATTCTATTAATTAGTTAGCTTGAAATTTTGTTTTACTCGCTAAATAACTGGATACCTCTGTGGGGGGAGGGAGGACTGAACATAATTTTGAAATACTGTGTTCAATCTGCAAATTGGTTTGCTATGCTCCATTATTCGATTCGAGTGAGTGTGTTTATGCGTTTATCAATATTTATAATTATTATATAATATCACATCAACTTTGTTTTTATATATTTTGTTTGTTATTAACCTTTCGCATTTTCTGCCTCTGCCTACCGATGATCGTTTCTTTCGATTCTTATTGTTTGCGCTCAATATATATGTTTTTTATAAATTTGTTGTTCTTCTTTGCATTCTCAATTAATAGATGTATGTATGTATGTATGCCTACTGGGATTTGTGACGAAAAAAAGATGTATTCTATATATTTATCAAAGTATATAATCATGGGATAGTTTTAATCGGTTCGGTTAATTTCTGCTGTAATTCCCTCAGCCCCTTTTATGAGGACGATGGTGATGATGATGATGATAATTCCATCCATACATACATTTTACGGGGTTTAATACTCTATTTACTTGTCCGGGGGTTTTGCCTTTCTTTATATATTCATTCCATTTAAAAGCGAATCACTTCACTGAGTGAAGGGTTCCTTCTTCTCTCTGCTTGTTTTACAATATTTTGAATATTACTTTTATGGTTTTTTTGTGGGTGTGTGTTGTGTGTTTCTTATTCTCCTCATAACTCCTTCTCTTCAAATACTTCTTTTTTTTGTGATTTTTTGTTTTGTTTTTCAAAAAGTACCTTTTTGTTTTGTTTGTTTGTTTGTTTAAGCCAAAAAGTCAGTCCAATAAGAGTTTTGAGTTGCCTGCAACTGCAGTTGATTTGTTTTTGTTTTCGTTTTTGGTTTTTTGGTTTTGTTTTTTTGTTTTTTTAAGAGCTTAGGTTCCAAAATAATTGTTTTTTGTTTTTAGCGTTGAGTTGATTTGTTATTTGCAGGAGTAAGTTGATAGTTTGTGGTCCAAAAGTTTGCCTCTAGGGGTTCATTTCTGTTCTATAATGAAGGTTTTTTGTTTTTCTTGTAGTTGTTGAAGGGATCAGCGACAAGGAGACGCGACCAATAGATGTTGCTGCTTTACTGTTCTGGTTGTTGTTGTTGTTGTTGTTGTTCGGAGGGATTGAGTTCGTTCTGAGCAGTCCAGCGAATCCCTGCCACTGCTCCTTCGAGCGCCTCACTCAGATGAATAGAGCTTGTTCTTGGTCAGCGTGAAATCGGGGCTAATGTTGATGGTATTGCTTCGTGTGAGGTTTCTACAGAAAGGTAAAAGAATGGGGTTATCGTATAGTTTGGAGGAGAAAAACCCCATCTACTTACTTGATAAACTGCGGCAGCAGGGATGTCCAGCCGCTCTTGCCCTGCCTCAGCGTCAAGTATAGCTCAAATATCGACACAGTTTCCGGATCCACTTTGAACGAAGCAATGCGCCTATAAGTACATATAATTATTAGCATATTTTCTTTATTTCTTAATGGAATATATATTTCTTACCTCACATTATTTGGCTCACTCTCGAACTCAATGAAGAGGGTGCAAGCCCGCTCGCCACATGGCTCTCGCTCCGACATGCGAATGATTTCGGCTGCAATGCGTCGGGTGAGGTCGTTGGGCAGCGTTACCTCCGTGCAGGCCAAGTGACGACGCTTGGCATCCCTTAGCTGGGCCTGCAGCTGTCCCGACAGCTCTCGCACAGCACTGGCGCTCACATCATCCAGGTTGTCCGCAGCTCCAAATCGTGCTCCAGCCGTCGATTGCAGCGGCGAAGCCGGTAGAGGGTGGTGATAATGATGATGCTGATGCTGCTGAGTGGTGCTGGTCAGCAAGTTGGTCATGTAGGCGTGGTGATAGGCAGCAGCACTGCCGCCACTGATGGGCGCCTCGAAGCTGGCAGCAGCCACAGCTGAAGTGGCCTGCTTGGGTGTGGTTGTTCCACCGCCGCCTGGCCCAGGGCCGGCTCCTCCGGTTAGGGAACCACTGCCAGCCGCAGCGGGCGCACCACTGGGTGGACGCGTATTGAGCGCCTGATGCTGCCGCATGTGCAACACGGAGGCCGGATGGCCGTCAACCACATCGACGTCCAGGTCGCCGGCGGCTGTGTTCCCGTTTCCGGACACGTTCAACTCCTCCTCCTCCTCCTCCACCTCCAGCGGTGCCGTTGCAGCTTGCCAGTCTTTAAATAAGAAGGAAATGAAATAAGAATTCATTAGTAATTATAAGAATAATTGTTTTTAAAACATTTAAATTGAAATATCCTTTGCTCATTAGCGGGAATTTTTAGTTTCTGTCGCAAAGTATGCAATGTTTTTTGAGAACATTTTTAAACAGAGTTCCTTCTGGAGTTTTTCTTTATTTACTCTTACATTTAAAGAGATTTTCTTAATTTTTAAAAGATAAACTCACGTAAAGGTAGCTTAGCTAACTAATGACACCCTATTTCCTGCAAATTACCGGGGCTTTCCAACCGGTGAAAGTTCGGGTTACGGAAGTTCAACTGTAGTTAGCTTGGCTCATCGACCGGCAAAAAGTGGCCACCATGTGAGAATGGAAATGGAATCATACAAAAAGTAAAACAAGAAAAAAAAAAAAAACATCAGCTGATGTGCGACACTTGAGATCCACACACACTCGCGTTCCACTCGATGGAACCGGAAAGGGTACACTGCGCAGACTCCACTTCCAGGGTGCAGAGGGGGTGACCGGCGGGTCGGGGGAAATCACCTGGCAACAACAGCTGGAAAATCAGCCGTTTCCCGTTTCCAGCTGACGCTCACTCTCGCTGCTGTCGCTCTTTCTCTGTCTCTCTCTCCGCAGTCAGCAGTATCCATGCCCCATCCCCCACCCCCCCTCGCTCTCATGCCAGCTCCCCTTTTGCTTTTATTTCTTTTGCTGTTACTTTATTACCCGTCCAGCCGAGACGATAAAAAGCAGAGCCTGAACTCAACTCAAAACTCAGCCCCACAAAGCTGGGAATTAAATGGAGTACAGTGGGGCCAGTGTTGATGGGATTTGGAATGAAATTAAATTAATGAAATAAGAATTTTCAATTTAATTTAATTTAGTTTTTAATTTGAAAAGTCCAGTTAATGTTTTTTTGGCAGTCACTCTGATATTAAAAGAATTAAAATGCCTCAAGTGCGAGTTAACACTTAACTGGGAGGTAATTTCATTTACTTAAGTGCGTTTAGGATACATGAAAGACCGTTACTTTATTTTTATAATCAAGTTTATGTTGTACATTGCTTGTATGTACATTAAATTCATACTCTGTAAGATTGTGAGACTTTGTAATGCGAGTGCATGTGCAGCAAGTACAAATTAACTACTTGGCTTGTCTCGACAGCGTCTTGTAATTAGCGCGGAAACTCTTTAAAGAGGGTTCTCCCCCCCTTGAGCTCGCCCTCCCCCTTTTGGTGTGGTGTCTCTCTGCCTCACATGCCCCATGTCTCTCTCTCTCCCTCACCATTTCCACAGCACAAGTATAATCATTGCAACGTCGCTGAATGGACAATTTGCTCTCGTTAGCTTTGCATGTGTCTGTCTCCCCCTCCTCCAGGCTCCTGCATCTTGCTCGCTCGCTCTATCGTTTTCTCGCCATCCCATCTCCCTCTGGCTCCTTGGCACGCAGAGCAGAGCAAGCACACCCGCGTAATTAAGAAATTAACGGCACATGTTTGCGGCTCTGCATGTGTCCACATGTGCGAGAGTGTGCTGTCCTCTGCCTCCATCACAAGCCCCCCTGCCATATACCCGTCTCGTTCCTTCTCCTTCGTTTGCTTGATGTCTCTGCGTGTGTTATTGGATTTTGTCAAGTGCCGTTGTCTCCACAAAAGGGTTTGTGTAAAGTCAGAAAAGCGAAAGCCAAAAAGAACCAAAAACAAAACAGTAGAAATAAAAAAAACAGACAACGACCACACACACTTAATTACAGAGCACACAAATGTGTGCACAATTGTGTGTGCTTGTACTTGTGCCACAGCTGCGATCAAATAAGTAGAGGTAAAATCTTTACCCTTCAATTAATTACATCAATTGGTAGATACTTATTTTAAAGATAATTTTTATTATTTCCGAATTGGGCTAAATTTTATAACTTAGGCTTTACAATTTATTATTTGTGTACAGCATAAGTAACCATCACTGTATGTGCCACACATTTTATGTACTATTTGTAAAAGGATGCGTTTCGTAGGTGGTGTATTTTGTACATATTTGCATGCATATTTGCTTTTGGAAAAGAGATGGGCATATTGATGAACAGAAACACCGCTCCCCCCCCCATCATACACAACAGAGCAGCCATCGTGGAGCACTTGTGGTTGTGTATTTTGTGCATTCGAAATCGACAAAAACAACAAAATCAACAGGGAACACAAGAATGTAAGTACATTGTGTACAACAATACCTGGCTGAAGCAAGTGGCAGTCGCAGTAGCAGAAGCAGAAGCAGAAGCAGAAGCCTAGGCAAGCAACGCTGCATCAACTCATCCAAGTTAACGGTACACCGCAAACATGGACTACTCTTGTTTTGTTTTTGTTTCGCGTTGTTGTTATTGTTCAGCTCAGACGGCTGAATGAGATAGATACCGAAGCTTAACGAGTGAGAGAGAGGAGGGGAAAGAGTGCGACAGGGGGGGTGGGGCAGCTTGGGGGGCTTATTACTTGGCTCCCATAATGCGTGGCGTTGCTTGGCCTTGAGATTAAATTTTCAAGCTTTACAGAATAGCAATCAGTATTAGTACAGTGGATATCGGTTTAAAGAAACAGCATTAGATTTTTTGATAGGCTTAAATTAAATAACTTAATTGGTTTTCGAGTCTCTAGTTAAAGTAACAGTTGTCAGTCTAGTTTCTTTTTTATCCAAAGAGTTGAGGTACTATTCTTTCCTTAGCAACTATTCTCTCGAAGCACAAACCTCAATTTTAAACCTATAATTAAATCTAAAATAAAACAAGAGTCATAGCAGATGTTTTTGAGTAAAATAATACTATAGAAAAGTAAGAAAATACAGTTGGAATAGTCTAAAATCATTTAATTGCTAAGCTCTTGTTAGTGTATATTCACTGTAAAACAATTAAGGTCGTTGATAATTCTGCTGTCTCTATTTTTAGATCTTCAATTTAATTACCGAAGTAAACAGTTTCACAGTTTATCACAGTTGATTCTTGGCAGCCATCTTCTGGATCTATAGAACTAGAAAAAAAACCAACTAATCGAGTTAAATTAGTTGTACTGCCTTCACAAATACATACAATACATACATGTTTATACGCACATGAATGCTGTTATGTTATGTACGCGTTAGTATGTTTGTTAGTTGTGTTTTTTGAATCAATAAGCAGTTGATAAATTATTCATTACGACCAATTTTGGAAGTCATTCGCATTTGGCCCCCTAAAGGAAATCTTTGGCAACCACTGCGAATCCAAAATTCCACAGACATGTTGTGTGTGTGTGTGTAAGGGGGGGTTGATAAATATTATATCAACTTCATGATAACCCTTTTCCGAAAGACCCAACAGGGCACGGAAGGGAGATGGCTACATGCACATGGGCATAACTAATGTTTATTCAAAGAAATTAAGTAATTAATTAAACAGCATTACGGCCTCTGCCACTGCCGGGGATAAACATAAACCTAAACGTATTTGCGGTCACAAACAAAAGCAGTTATTAGCTGAATGTTAAACAAAATCAGGGATTTCAAAATCCCTTCTTCAGTTCTTAAATTTTATATTTGCAAAGCAAAATTGAGTTAGAGGAAAATTTGGTTTTAATTAAGTTGTTGGGCTTGAAATGGAAAATTCATTTTATTTTCGGTTTTCCCTTTTATTTATGGATGTGTTTATATATTGTATTTATATATTCTATATAGAGAACGAATAATAACCATGTGTGAGTGCTGCTGAGGCTGGCTTGTTCCGTCGAATGTCCTTCGAAAAATAAAATTGCATGCGCTCAGTCAGTCATGAAATTAAATTGACTGCAAATACATACGCTTGCCAGGAGGGGCCTAAAGGGGTGACACAGAGGCGTCGAACCGAGGGGGCGGCTCTGCAGAGCTTTGAACACGATGCGAGGTGTGCTGGCTAACCAAAGCGATTCACCCAGCTTTTTTCACGCCAATTTAGATAGGAAATCAAAATCAGAAAATGGAAAGGAAATTTCATAAATATTTTCCATTAATAAATACTAAAAATTTATCAAAAAGGTCATACTTTTAAGCAAAAAAGTACTATTTTTAACAGGTATACATTTTTTATAGTATTTAAAAACTCTTTTCCTAATCATCAAACTTGCTATTTTCCCTCATAGCTTTTCCTTTTAGCTGATTCCCTTTTTTAAGCCAGATTTACGCTACCTTTTGGCAACACTGCGGGGCAACGGTAAATCTGCAGCTGAAACTGTGCTTGTGTGGGGCGACATGTTGTTGCATGTCGCTACCTCCGCCGCTTGTTGTGTTCGCCTCTTGGTGATTTTACATTTTTTTTGTTGCTGTTTTGGCTTACGTGCTACGTGGCTATATGGCTATATGCGGTCCCTCCCTTTTGCTCAGACGTTTGTATGTAAGTCCCCCCCATCTAATTTGCCCAACTCAACTCCTTCTTGGTGTGCCGTGGTGCAAAGTTTAAAGTGACAGGATTAACAGGATGTTGCATAATCCGACCGTCAGACACACATGAACAGGATATGCTGGCCTGACTTTGGACAGGAACCAAGAAGGGCAAAATGCATTATGCTAATTTTCTTTTGCTTTCCTCTCTTTTTTTAATGCAACCCTCTTAAAAAAGGAATCCCTTAAGTTAAAATCCATCACAAAGGCTAATTTTAATTAAACCAATAAAAAATAACATTAATGCCCCATGTTTTCCACAAATTATGAGTTTTCTATTCAAATTCTTTAAATATTCTGAAAAAACTACTTATAAACCATATATTCAGAGTCAAGGAAACAAGTTTACCCTCGAAATCAATTTGAAATCAAAAGTCTATCAAAAATTTGAGAAATACTTGAATAAATGAATTTTATAATCTCTGGAAAATTTGCTGAAGACATCAAATGAAATGTTCCCGTACACCGTACGCTGCTATAAAATTAATTGAATCAAAAAAAAGGAAGAGAAAAAAATATAATAATGGCCCATAAACATGAAAAATAAAAATGTTCGTGGCACATTAAAAATATCCGAAATGTGGGCCTTAATTGAGAATTCTTGCAAGAAAACGGCCCGAAGTGGATTTTGTAAGTTCACAAGGTGAACACCGACCTTAAATTTAGTTTTAATGCCTTGGCTGGGCATTAAAATTAATCAAACGTAATAACAGCACAGAACAGTAAATATTTAATGATTTTGTATGTGTGCCTTATCGTTCTACTGCATTTTATGTTTCAACAACGGGGGAGAATCATAAATAAAGCTTAAAAAATATTTGATTTGTCATTTTTACAAAACATGAAGTCAAAAGAAGGAAAAACGTATCTTTTATTACACCTTTCTATAAATAATATAAAAGAAGTTTTCAGACATTCTGCAGGATACTGTATTATCTAATTTGCACGTTTGAAAATTTTCGAAAAAGGAAAGATTGTACTTTAAAAACTTCATGAATTTAAAATGTGTCACTTTTTCACATATTCTAAAATATAAATTTATTGTTTCTTGTAAAATGCACAATAAGAACTGTAGCCTGGCAAACTGACAATAGGAAAATATCACTTTAGAATATTTTTAAAACGAAAATCGGTGGATTTCAAACCAACTTCAAATAACTGAAGAAATTAATTCAAATATTTTAACTTTACGAAACTCTTTACAAAATCTGCTATTTTCTTCAATAAAAAATTAATTATAATAAAATCATATACTTTTAAATTTTCTTATTTCAAAACACTTTAAAATTAGGATGAAACAGGACCTTTAACGTAATTGAGCCTGATTTTATTAAAGTTCCTTTCAAAACTTGGAAACACACACAAAACTTTTCAGAAATTTTACGCTAAACTTGATTTTATAAAATAAAAATAAAAGCAGATTTTAAGTACTCACCTTTAATTTTATTAACACCGAATTTTCCCTGAATGTGATTTTGTACTGAGAGCACTTCCATCTTCATAGAGTTCGCCGCCGCTGCTTCCTTGGGCTCCTTTTTGCGGGTTTTGAATGTTTTCTTTATTCAAAATAAGAGTTCTTCTAGACTTTGATTCCACTTCTGATTTCGACGGACTTTCGTTGCGTTTTTTTTTTTAATTAATTAATTGCGTGCGCGTATGTGTGTGTGTGTTTTGGGATAGTTGGATTAAACGTACAAAATATATATGTTGTGTATGTATTGCGTACGTATTAGAAATGCACTTTAATCACAAGAATTTGATTTTATTTCGCGGGTGTATGTGTGTGTATGTGGCTTTTGTGAGAGTTCGATTTTCCAGCGACAGCGTTTATAACAAACAATTGGAAAAGTATCAACAACTAAATTTGTTATTCTAGTTAAACATTTCAATTTAATACATGCTACAAAATCAACGGAAATCGCCGCTCCGTTCAGCTCTCGCCCTCTCTATCTCTCTTTCTCTGTCACTCTCTGCGCTCGGCTTGGGAAATCTTATTAGTTTAAACACAGCACATGGTTGTTATTTTTTGTTTTTAATTCTAGACGTTTGTTGTTTTGGACAGAGTTCTTTCCTTTCTTTTCCTTTCCGAAAATTCTTGGCTACATATGGCGGAGTTTCAAGTGCTGAGATGGCTGGCCTTTAAGTTATTTTCTCGCTTTTCTGTCTTTTCTGCTGCCTGCTCCGAGTTCCGTGTTCTTTATCCGCGCCTCCTTTGGTCCGATGTGCGAGTCGAAAAATTTGTCCAGCAACTGAACTGTGCTTCTGCTGCTGCTTTTGCCTTGGCTCTCTGCCGCCGCGTGCCTCTCTCTATGTGTGTGTGTGTCTGTTTGCGCTCGCTCAGCTGTGGCTCGTGTGGCTGTGTGGGTGCGTGAGAGTAGCGCCTGCGAGAGAGCTTGGAAACTAGATGAAGAACTGGGCTGCAGCAAACTTCGATAACGGGAACTAAGAGCTGAGCTGAGCGGAGCAGTTTTCCGAGCAGTTTTCCAAAGCTACTATTCCGGCCGGCTGGTTGTGCTGCCGCTTTTATACCGATTTTCCGGCCCGAGCTGCGCTGCCGGCGTCGCAGCTTTTCCCTTGGCCGTGAACCGTCGCGTACATAGCGCCGGCGCTCTTGAGTTTTCTCACATTCTTACTCTCTATCTCTCTCTCTTTTCATACAGCTGCTGCTGCCGGCGAACATGTGTTGCCATCAGCTGTTTGTGCTCTTGCGCTCTCAGTCACTCAATGGGTCTCTTAATGGAGTCGAGTTAAAGAGTGGAAATCACTCAAGCCCGGTTTGGTACTCTTGAGAGTTAAGGGAGAGTTTAGCAACTTAGGGCAGCCTCTCTTAATCTTTTGGTATCTTGTAGGTTGAAATTTTTGAAGTTGAGATTGATTTTGTGGCTTCTTTAGATTTTTCGGAAATGGGTGGGGATTAAATTCCGGAAAAATATAGTATATAAATTTTAGATCCTTTTATTTTGTGTTTTAAATATTTTTATATAAAAAATAATAATTTTGGAGCGTGCACTTATTTTTACATAAAATAAATACAGAAATTTAGATTTTTAAATATTAAGAAAAAGTTAATAGACTCGGAAAATATAGTCTAAAGTTAATAATTCATTTTGTAAACTCAAATTCAGACACTTTTGTAAAGACTTTGTAGCCAGGATGAGGTTAATATGTGCTTTATCTTGTGTTTTCCCGAATGTAATGATGTAAAAACCTATGTACCTTGTACATACTTACATACATCTAGGTTTATCATACATCTCTTGGCCTTTTCCGGATGACAAGACCCATTGTACCGCCTCTCGATCCCGGTGGCAGCGGTGGTCTGATGTGGAAATGGGTGGGAAATGGTAGCGAAAAAGCAAGAAAATGGATGAAAATGCTTCGCCGACAACACACAGGGCCTGTCACTGTTTTAACAATTCATCTTAATAGAAATAAAAAATGGCGCCGCTGGCGTTGGACAGTCCAGCTAACACCCTGCCCCCTCCTCCCTGTCTGTCCCCCTGATCCCTCCCACTCTCCAGCACCCCCACTCCCCCCCTTTCGCTATTTGTCACTGGCTCGTTGTGGGTGCTCCATTGGATCGGCTTTGGGAAAAGCATCCGGGAAAGCATTTCCCTTCGTCTAGCTAGATGCGGCGCGGCGTTGGGGGATTTACACATGTCAGTTAATGCTGAAAAAATGTTTACACAACACAATTGCCTGGCTGAGAGAGGAGGCGGGGGCCCCATGCTGGGTCTGCCGGTGCACTCGAAAAAATATTAGAAAAACTATAAAATTATTATATATTTATATTTATTTTATTTAATTTCCTTTGATTTGGTAATAAGGGATTTTTTAACTAAAAAATGCTGAAGATTTTATTTTTTATGAAGAATAGTAAAAGAAAAAGTAAAGTTTTTGAAAATTAAATTATAAATTCTTAGAAAATCGTTTCAAAATATATTATTATATATATTTAAATATTTAAATATATATTATTAAATTGTAGAGCTCAAATTTTGTAACCAAAATTCTAAAGATAGATTTTACTCTTTGAAAAAAAAAGGTTTCTAAATTCGAGTTCTAAAATTAACAAGTTTCTCAAACTCTTTATAAAAGATTTTAAATATATTACATTCAAATTTTATGTTATAATACGAAATAAATAACCACATATCTTATTTTACTTTTGATTTACTTATTTTTCTTTCCCAAATTAATATTAATTTAATATTATAACTGCAAATATTATATATTATGTCTTGTTCTACTATTAACTAACTTAGTTTTACCTTTTAAATTCCTACCTATTTTAATATTATAACATCTACATCTATATCTTGTTTTTTTTCTTGAATTACTTCTAAATACCATAAATTTCGCCTATTTAACTCCATTTTTCTCTCACTGTCTGCCAAAAGTTTTAAAGGCCAGTTCTCCCTCATCTCTATTTTTTGTTTTGTTTATTTTTTTCGGATAGCTGAGCTGCAGCAATGTCGAACAGGATAAAAGTCAGTAGCATACAATTAATCAAATGCATGATTTATGTGAGTGAGTTCCACACGAGTTTAACCTAAATACGTCCCGTCGGGATCCATCCAAATGAGATGTTCGAGACGACGTCAGGAATTTCCAAAACCTTAAACTTCCCCTTGGTCTTGGTACCAATTCCTAGCAACTTAATAGACTTTGTTATATTGTTGTTAGAAGTGAGTGTGTTTTTCTGGTATTTAAGTATTGAAAATTAAACCAATATTTAGTTGGGAAAAATCAAAAATAGGTTCAATAAGTGTTCTAAAGACACTTCATGAAGTGTTCTTCTTTGTGAAGATATTAGTTTCTTGGTTTATTTCATTCTTAATACATTTTAAAGAATTTTCAATGGTAATAATGGTGCTAGGATCAAGAATATATATGATTTATAGGGTCGGAAATGATTTCTTCACTGCTTCTGACTAAAATCTAAGACCCTGCAACGGTATAAATATAAAATTGTTATTTATTTTATATACCAAAAGCATGACACATTTAGTTTTTAGTTTGCAGAATACTTTTGGCAACCTGTTACAACCTTCTTCGATTCTGGATATATCTTTAAACACCCAAAAAACTTCAACCCTCGAGTACCCAAGGCAAGACACACATTCCCATTTGAATTTTCGAAAGTTTATTTGACTTTTTGCTTGACTTACAAACTAAGACACATAAATGCATCCGCTCAATGGGTTCGTTTCATGATCATCGTCCTCAGGAGGTCTTCTTACTAGCTTAGTACTTGAAGTACTTGGTGTAGTAATCGCTGAAGAAGGTGTAGTCAAAGTGTCCGTAGTTGGAGTAGCTCTTGTACTTGTAGTAGGGCTCCATGGTGTCGGCATGATAGATCGTCACATCCTTGAAGTACATGTTGGGCACGAAGAACTCGTACTCGTCGATGTCCCGGTCGAAGGGATAGCCGAAGGGCATGTTGTCAACGAAGCGGGCACCGGATCCAATGCCACAGGAGTAGGTGTAATCGAAGGTGGAGAACTGCTCGTGGGCAGGGGCGTGGTATGGCATCACCATGAAGAACATCTGCATGGGCATACCCTTCTTCCAGCCCATGGGCAGGACCAGGCGGTCGGGGAAGCCGCAATGGGGCTCACTGATGTCCAGAGGGAAGTCGTACTTGCCATCGAAGGCCATCATCATGTAGTAGTACAGCTCGGTGTAGGTGGTGCGATCCTTGACGGTCCAGTAGAACTCATTGGATTTGCGGGTGATCATGTTGCTGCCAGCCTTCAGTTCGTAGTAGAACTCATCCACCTCCATGAAGTTCATGCGGTTCTCAGCCAGCGAGAAGGTCCTGCCGAACTCATCGAACTTGGGTCCCAGGAAGGCCCGGATCACCACCTTCTCGACCTTGTCGGACTCAATGGTGTAGGTGTAGGTGAAGGGCTTGTGGTTGAGACGCATCTGGCGGGCAAACAGAGCCTTGTCCCACACGAACTTGCCCTCGTGGAAGACCATCTTGTCGTTGAGCATGTTGGTCACATCGAAATCAACCAGATCGAAGTAGGTGGTCAGCTCGCTAACCTCCACATGCTTCATGGTAACGCCGGGCATCAGCAGCTGCTCCTTGGTGTACTTGGGCAGGTAGTGCATGAACTTGAAGTAAACCTGGGCGATCGACTTGTAGAACATGTAGTACATAGGGTCACGCATCATGGTCTCAAAGTTGAGCATCACATTGGGATACACTTCCATCTGGTGGTAGTCGGTGTCGGCGAAGTACATATGGGCGAGCATGTACCAGAACTGATAGAACATCTTGTCCATGGCATCAACATTGCCCTGCATGATGTTGCCAATGTACTCAATGGACTCGGGTTTGCGCAGATCGATCATGTGACCATCGACGGTCTTGTAGTAACCCTTCTCGACAATGTTGTGGATGCGCTTCATGAAGTAGGTGATCTTGTCGAGCATGTCAAAGTTGCCGTAGGTCTCCATCTCGTAGTAGTTCTTGCGGTAGCTATAGCCAATGCCATTGTAGTAGATCATCTGGGGATCGTAGCCCATCTCGATCTGGTGATACCAGGAGAACTCGGGGATCTCACCAAAGCCATGGGACAGGCGCTCCATGTAGTATCTGCTGAGCAGCTGGTGGACATTGTACAGCCACCACTCACCACGACGATCGTTCTTCAGTCCGAAGGTGTTGCCATCCAGGAAGAAGGAGTAATCCATGTTCAGGTAGTACCAGTAGGCATTCCATCCCAAATCCTCAGTGAAGTAAGACAGTTTGGATTCCTCATTGAACAGGTTCAGGTCACGGGAGTAATCCACAGGCATGTAGAACTTCTTCACATCCTTCATCATCGACAGCCACTTGGACTCCTGGTTGAATTCGTAGATGTTCTCGCGGAGAATGAACTTATCCTCGCTGTACCAGTGCTCACCCAGACCCATCAGTTTCCACCACTGCCAGGTCTTGAAGTCCTTCATGTACATGTAGTCGCTGGACTGATACATATTTCCGTAACCATAGTTGTGGGCATGGTTCTTGTAGTACACATCCAGATACTCCTTCTCGTACATGGTCATCTTCATCCACATCTCGTAGTCGAACTTCTCAGCCTCGTACACAAACTTGCTGTTGAAGAAGAACTGCGGGAAGATCTCATAGATGGAGGGCAGCATCAGACCATGGAAATCATCGCGATGGATCACGGCCAGAGTCAAGGCATAGACGAACATGCCCTCGTTGACATGCATGCGGGCCCAGGCCACATTGGCCATGAAGGTTTCCCAGTCCTTGGCATAGTAGAAGAAGTTGAAGAGACCACGAGCCTGCTTGGCATGGGTCAGAGCCAGTTCACCAAAGAACTCACCCTTGGGCAGCAGGGCGTGAGCCTTGTAGGCCTCGTAGAACTTGGTCATGTAGATGTCATAGTGCTGGGTGGGGGAGGGGAGTAAAGAAAAGTCTCTCTAAAGCTCTCTAAAAGTATGGATTAATCCCTT